ACAAACACGAGGAGATCAAGATCCCTTAGCGTGTTTATGAATGTACGTATTGTTGGTGAATGTTCTGTAAATGTTCCAGCCATCTGTTTCTAGTGGTTTTGGGTTCTAAAGTATTTTTTTTTTAATTTTCCTGTTTGGAGATCTGTCTTGTGCCATCGTGGGTAATGAATCTGCCGGTGATTATGGATTGTCTATTAATCATTTGACTTAGCTCAGTAACGGTTTGCTTAGAATCTGGGTGCCACCAAGATTGGGTGCATATATATTAAAATTGGTTATCTCTTCTTGATGAACTGTGCCTCTACATTATATACCCATGACCCTCTTTGGTCTTTCACTACTTTTGTTAGTTTAAAACTAGAGTTTCTGATTGAACTTGCCACACCAGCGCTTCTTTTGGCTTCTATTTTGCTTGGGATATTGATCTTCAGGCTTTATTTTTAGGTCTATATGCATCCTTGCGAGGTTGATGTGTTTGCTGGAAGACGGCAGTATACTTGGCCTGTATTGTTCTGTATCCATTTCAGCCAGCCTATGCTCTTGAGTGGAGGGAGTTGCAAGCCTGTCAGATTTATTGAGAGAATGACTAGGTAAGGGTAGATTGATTGTCATTCTGTTGGGGTTGGATGTTGTGCTATGATTTCGTTTGAGCCATTTAATAATCTGGGGCCTTTAATATCTTTGGGCGTTTGGTTGTTTTTTATTCGGTGGGGTGTTATTATGGTGTTCCGTACGTAATGGGCTTTTTAACACCGTGGGTTCTTGTAGGGCTGGTCTTGTCTTGGGTGAGATTCTCTGAGCCTTTGCTTGTCTGGAATGTTTTTATTTTCCTTCCATATATGAGTTAGTTTTGCAGGGCATAATATTCTAGAGTGGGCAGTTGTTTGTTTGCAAAAGAGGTGAGGAATGGGCTCGCAGTCTCTCCTGCCTTGTAGGTCTCATTACGAGGAATGTCTGATGTTATTGAATTGGCTTTCCTGTTATTGTTACTTGCTTCTTCTGTCTTCAAGTCTTAGTGAAGGGCCTCTTTGGTTGATACTTTGTTATCAATCTGATTGACTGCATGTCGTTGAGACGTTTCTGTTGATTGAATCTCCAGGGTCTCTGAGCTTCTTGAATTTGTATATCAGATTTTGAGCCAAGGCCTGGGAATTTTCCCTTTAATATACTTCAAGGGCAGCTTGTCGCTACACCTTGGAGTGTTGTCTTTCCCCCTTTGTAAAGCCCTATGAACCCTCACAGTAGGTTTTTCACATAATCCCACGTTGTTTTGTAGCATTTGCCTTTTCTTGTTTCTCTGCTCTATTTCTGTACTGATTTATTTAATTGGAGGGTGTTTCTCAGCTACTGAGATCTGTTCTTCTGTTTCATCTACCCTGTTTTGAGATTTTCACATGTATTTTGTAGTTCCTTGGAATTGATGTCTTCATTCTCAGGAGTCTGGGTTATCCTTTTCTTATTGTGTCTATTTCTTTCCCATATCTGGAGCTTTTGTGGTTTCTTTATGTTGGTTATTGGTTTGTCTGTTTCAGGCTCGCGTGAGGTGTTCTTATGTCCACATAGCGAATTCCTCTGTCTGTCATATTGGGTTTCCTGATTTTTGGTTGCGTGTCGTTATCTAGGGGCGTGGTGCTCTTCTTTGGGGGTGTGTTCTTCCGATTTGTGTCTTCATTATTCTGAATTCTTTTGTCTGATTACTTCCCATGTCGTCATGTTGTTGTTTCTTTCCTTAAGTTATTGTTTGGGTATTCACGACCCTGTTTAGTTTCTGAGGCGTTAGGGTGGTGTCTGTGGGTGATTGGACCACTCCATATCTATTGGCAGTGGGTGCCGGGTAAAATGTGTGCCAGGATGCGTCACTGTGTATGGTGGCGTTTGTTGAGGAACAGCTATGCTTGTGGATTTTGGTTAGCCTGCCTCAGGCGTTAGTAGGGGTTCAAGTTCTGTTCTCTGCTTCCAGGAAAAGCTGTCAGGGCAGGGCTGAATGGTCCCGTCGAGCCAGAAGTCTGGTGGGTGGGGCGGGCTGTCTGAGATCGGCAGTCTGGGCGGGCCTCGCTTCTTCCACCTCCCAGTCGCAGCTACTGTGTGGTCTCTGCCAGCAGGGCCAGACCACAGCACAGGCCTCCCGAGACTGTGATGTCGGCGGGGAGGTTCCCTGCAAGGAAAGCCACCTGGTTGGCACACGCGCCTCCTCCTGGGAGGGGGTTGCCTCTAGGATGCCACGGCCCCTGGAGGACAACACACATCAGAGGTATTCACGTATAACCTTTCTGTGCCCTGGGCAATGTAGGCCCTGGTGCAGGGGATCTGGTCTGCAGTGCTGACTCTGGGTCCAGGAGTTCGCAACTGTATCCCCACGCAGGGAGAGGGATATCCCGGTCCCCAATCACCCACCAGGGAGCCAATGGTTAGTGTCTCTCGCTCTGAGTCGGCACCGTTCTCCTGGGAACTCAGTGCCAGCAGCACCTGGGAGGGTGGGCGGGTAGGGAGCTCACAGTCTGAGTTCCCCTGAGTCAGCTGTACGGTCCCAAGAGGGAAGGTCCCATTCCCTGGAGGTGCCTCCGGCTGGTGGCTATATTGTCTCTCTGGGCAGCCGCGGGTAGGGTCGGAGGAGGGGAGGAGGAGGCAATATGGCGCCTGCAGCGCGGCTTGGGTCTGTGCACACGGAGGTGCCCAGAGGAAGTTGGGAACCCGGTGCCACGTCTGCTACAGGCTCACCGCTGGCTGGCAGCGGCGGCAGTCTCTGGGCTGGTGTCTGCAGGTCTCTCCACCCGCTTGGGAGCCCACCAGCAGTCCCAAATGCAGGGGAGGGGAAACAGCAAATCCACATACCCTTGCCGCTGGTCTCCGGGCTGCTCCCGTGGTCTCAGCCTCCAGTTCTCCTCCGCAGCCTCCTCCCATGGAGTCTCTCAGGGTCTCAGGTACCTCTCCTTCCGGCCCTTGTCTCGTCTTCTTGCTTCTTTCCTCTAATTTCTGCTAGAATCTGTCTTTTCTGCCAGCATGTCTTTTTTGACTGGTTTATTTTACTTTCTATAATGTCCTCAAGGTTCATTCATATTATAGCCTGTGTCAGTATTTCCTTCCTTTTTAAGACTGAATAATATTCTATTGTATGTATATACCTTAATTTTGTTTATCTATTCATCTCTCAATAGACACTTGAGTTGCTTCCACCTTTTGGCTATTGTGAACAATGCTGCTATTAATGAGTGTTCAAATATTTCTTCATGTTTTTGCTTTCAGTTCTTTTGGATATATACCCAGAAGTGGAATTGCTGGATCATATGGTAATTCTATTTTTAATTCTTTTAGGAACCACCATAGTGTTTTCCAAGTGGCTGCAACATTTTACATTTCTACCAACAGTGCACGAGGTTTCCAATTTCTCTGCATCCTCCCCAAACACTTGTTTTATATTCTGTTTTTTTGATAGCAGCCATCCTAACAAATGTGCTAGATGTGGTTTTGAATCACAAGAAATTGTTTCTAAAAAATCAGATAGGTTATTTGTACTATAGGACTCTTTGATTCAAGTGTCACATATAAAACAATGGAGGCAATTATTATCCTTTGCCATTTTAATAAAAAATTAATGTTCATAGAAAAATACAATTGGGTCTAAAAAATAAGCTCAGATCTTTTTCGAAGTCAGCAATGCTTGTGTGAAAACAGGTGATTCAGCAGCAAAACCACAGCCTGTAAACTACCCTCTGCGTGGAGGCATCTTCCCTTAGTGCAGTCACAGTGTCTGTCTAGAACAAAGCAGCTCCTGGTGTCAGCCTGAGACATCTGACTTCACAAAGTATTAGCAACTGTCAAACTCCCCAAGAGTTTGACTAAGAGTTTCTGGAGGACAAGGGTTGTTCCTGTAAATCTTGCCTGGCATTGTACAGGGCTCCTAGGAATCCATTCAGTAAATACATGTTCAGTGCCTGCTGTGTGCCAGTCACTCATCCTGGGAGTCCCTGGGGACGTGGTTGTGAGCAAAGAAAGCAAAAGCCTCTGTTCTCAAGGACTTTATAGTGTTGAGACTGACGAGAGTATGTAGGTGTATACATGTCATAGGCGATATTACATTCCAATGATATGGAAAAAAATAAAGCAGGAATGAAAAGTAGTAAATGTCAGGAAGAGGGTGGCTGCAATTTCAAATGGGTTCAAGGCAGGCTCACTGAGATGCAGTATTTGGCCAAAGACCTAAGGGAAGCAAGGCAGTGAGACACGATCATGGCTTTCTAGGGGAAGAGCCTTCTTGGTCGAGAGAATGGCAGTGTGAAAAGCCTGAGGTGGGAGTGTTTCTGATGCATTGGAGAACAGAAAGAAGACCAGTGTGTCTAGAACCAAGTGGGTGGGGCTAGGAGAAGGCATCAGGTACATGACAAGGGCCAGTCTACACAGGGCCATGTGGCCACTGAAAGACCTTTGGTGTGGGAAGCCTTTGGGTTGGGGAGAGGGTATGTTCTGAACAAAAGACAGACCGGATCTGACCTACGTTTATATGGATCACTCTGGCTCTGCATTGAGAACAGACTTCAGTGGGCGAGGGTAGAGGGAAACCCTCAAAAGCTTTCTATCTGTTCATGGGAGTGGAGTTCATGATGTTTGGACTTAGCAGTGTTAGGGACGGTGGGTGGGGTTGACAGTCTTCACAATGTGGACTACACAGATTTTGAAGCTGTTAATGGATAACCCTCATAACGAGGTCATGTCCCAGAGGGTGCTACATGCTGTCTGGTGAGTATGTGCCTGGGGCTTGCAGGGAAGGGCCTGCCTCCTGCTTTGGGGTTAAGGCAGTCAGTCCTTCAGAGGCCCTGTGATTGGAGCAACATGTTGAGGTTAGCAAAAGGCACAGCTGCCCACAGAGGAGCTCTTTCTTCCTGAGTGAATGGGTCAGTGTCATCTTTGAGAAATTTCTGTAGGGCCCAGGTCTGAGGGAATTTGAGCAAAATGTCAGTGGATTTTCAACAGTGGCCATAGGCAGCAGACCACAGCTGGGTGGTTCCCACCAGAGAAATTCTACTTTATTGTTTCATTAGTGCGAATGAAACTCACTCTGGTGAAAGGAAATCACATGACGAGACCACAGCTGTTTCACCGAAAGTGCTAACTTGAGCTGTAAATCTGTCCATAACCTTTAACCCTGCACCTAGGCTTCAACGAAATAAACTCCAAAGAAACACCCAAAAAAAAAAAATTTTGTGCAGGCATCTTTCACATTTGAAATAGAATTTATAACTGAGAATGACCCAAGTGTTTGAGACCAAAATAATAGCTAAACAAATAATAAAGTAGTTATAATAATAAGATAAGATGCTACAGAGACATTAGAAAGAAAAGCTCAGGGGGTATCTTTTGATGACCTGAAAAGTACATAAGCGATTAGTTAGGTGAATAATGCACAACACAAAATTGAATGTTTGTATAATTGTACGTATACCAAATATGTGTGCTCGTTGACAGATAAATTTAGAGAAATAGAACTTGAGTTCATAAATGAATTTGGAGAAACAAAAATTGAGTTTAAGCTCATTAGGTTTTTTTTTTTTGTAAAGTAATTAGATTATAAACATAACTGTTAAAAAAAAAAAAGTCGCCAAAGGAGACGGGCATTAAAGGTGCAGAATAAAGCTTTGAACCCTATTTAGACCGTTTTCGCTCTTCAATACCTATGCCTCACCTTCCCCCTAATATGGCCCATTCACTATGTGCTGAGAAGACTGAGGACGAAGCAGAAAAGGTGAGAGCCCTTGACTGTTAGCCTTGAAAGCCCACCAGGGTAAGGGGGCAAAGGCCATACGTAGCTTGGCCAGCTCTAGGAAGAGCCCTGCCACCCGATCAGGATGAAAGAGTAGAATGGTGCCTTTGTGTGCCTGCTTTCTAAACAAGCCCAGATATTTACCTTGTGGTGGTTAAAAGTAGGGCCAAATTTTATCAGTTAGATTCCTCTGTTTAGTAAAGATAGTGACATATATTATAAGAATATACATTTTTTCCCTCCAAGGGCTCAATAAACTTGTAAAGGAAGTGTTTGTTCTTTTTTTTTTTTTTTTTTAGTAATATTTAAAACATAGGCCACCATGGACAGTAGGATTCATGGTTAATTTTAATTTCTCTTTTTAAATATTCCTGTACTGTTTGAATTTTATAAAAAAGCAATACATATATTATTTTCATAATGAAAGGAAAAGAAAGTTGTTCTATTTGAAAAAAGTGCACCTAGTCAATATTTTTATTTTTTCTAAATTGGCCATTATAAATATTAATAGATAAGAGTACATAAAATCAAAGATCTCTTGACAACAGTCCCCAGTCCTTGCCATAGACAATGTTTAAAGACACGGTGACAAACTGGAATCATCAATTAATATTTCTAACACACAAAAATATTTTATAAGTCACTAAGAAAATGATGAGAAAAGGTCCAGAGATATTAATTAACTTCCTGTAGAAATGGCCATAGACATGAAAAAAGGGCTAACCTTATTTGTGGTTAAATAGATGCAAATTAAAAGAGAAATTAGCTACTAGTTTTCATCTGTTAGAATGGGAAATAGTTGCTAACACTCATTGTTGGCTATAGTTAGAGACTATAGGCATTCTCATACATGTTAGTGAAAATTTAAACTGGTACCAATTGTTTGAAGGAAATACCTATTTGTTTTAACTGAGGATATCCTTAGACCCATGTACTATACTTCTAAGAAATTTACTAAGAAATCAACTATAAAGTTTTACACAGTCTAGAGATATTATTGCTAACAAAATAAAGAAAAACAGGGATGAAAACAAAATCCAAGGCAGTGATTACCTTTGAAAGGAAATACATCAAATGTGGTAGCAGTAGGGCACACAGGTTTGGTTAATGTTCTGTTTCTCAAGGTGGGAAGTAATAACATGATTGGGGTTTCTTTTATTATTTTGTAAACGTGACATATGTGTTTTCACCTTTCTGTACGTATTTTACACAAATTTTAAGTAAAAATATCTGAAAAGAGAGATATACATCAAGGGTTGTAAAAGCTGGCTGAAATCTAGATACCGTGTTGGTCTATATGGTGTTCTAAAAGTTTCTATTCTCCCTCAAAACTGGACCCTGGAGGTGTTCAATTTTGTACCTCCCAATGCCACTTTTGGTGACTATATGATATAGTAATTCTCTAACAAGCAATCTAATCATAAAACCTGTGTAAAACTTTATAGTTACTTTCTTAGTAAATTTCTTAGAAGTATAATATGTGGGTCAAAGTATATTTTCAGTTAAAACAAACAGGTATTGCCATCCAACAACTGGTACCGGTTTAAATTTTCACTAACATGTACAAGAATGCCTCTAACTATAGCCAACAATGAGTATTAGCAACTATTTCCCACTCTAATAGATGCATTAAGAAAAAGTGTGTGTGTGTGTGTGTGTGTGTGTACGCGTGCACGCACAGTAGGGCACTGTCAGCCCAGCTGTTTTTCTGTCCCCCACACTTCTCTTTCCGTGGTGAAGTCACCAGGCTGCCCTCTCTCCACCTAGGGCATGTGCACAGGCTCTGCTTTCTGGCGCTTCAGGCACGTGCAGACGGTTGGTAGGTCCTGGGATGTGTGGAGCCCTTTGTGATTCCTGGGCTCAGAGGTGCTGCCACACTGCCACTTCAGAGACCTCCACATCATGGCCTTCCTGCCACCAAGGCTGCCCCATCTCCCATCCTCATACTCTGAATTCTCTTCACTGCAGCCAGGCCAAGGGCTGCCCTCCTGCTCCACTTAACCCCGTCATGCCTGGCCACAGCAGGAGATGTGACAGTGATGCAGGGAGTTTAACTTGTTCTAAATTCTCCCCACAACAAATCTAAGTCCAGTAGCGAGTACCCGGACCCAGACTGCCGGGGCCTGCTTGCCAATCCCCACCCCAGGAACAGGTCGGTGCCTGGAGTGGACTCGGGAGGCAGGCTCCTCTTCCTGGGCTGTCTTTCGTACCTCAACTCCTCAGATACCCCTCAGTCCAGAGTGAAGTGTTTAGGACACACTTGATACCCTTGGATGGGACCAGAGGGACTAGGGCAATTGAAGTGAGTCACTATCCACTGGCTGGAAAAACAACGTGCGTAAGAGTGCAATGATGTGCAGACCACGCCTGCACCATCCACATCGGTCACCAAGCCTCACTCCCCGTAGACAGTTTCCTGTCCTCCCAACCCCTGACATCGAATCAATCTCTAAGTCATGTGGGTTCCTTCCTTCAAAATATTGGCTTGGATCTGCTCCCTTCTCTCTTCCTTGTTCAGACGTGACATCAGGC